AACACGGTAATGAGTAACTAATCATTTCTAAACATCTTTTGTAGGCCCATTTTAATCTTTAATATCTTACTTCACATGTTTTTAGTTATTTCATTCACCGCTACCCAGGAAGAATCAACTCAAAAATAAAAGTCTTTCATTCAACAAAAAGGAAAGCTTAAAATTGCACATAACCCTAATTGACTATCTAGAATATTAAGACAACATTTGTGAATATTAACAGAATTATTTTTTTTCAACATGTAGGAAAAATTTAATGAAAACTCTATCTTTAAACACACACACACACACACACACACACACACACACACACACACACACGAGAGAGAGAGAGAGGGGGGGAGGGAAGAGGGAGAGAGGGAGGGTGGAGAGAGAGAGAGATTTTATTTCTCCTCAGGGACTAATTAAGGTGCATGCATACATGTTGCTTTTGTGTGTATATGTGAATCTAATCAAGATGGGTGCATGTGTGTTTCTGTTATCTCCTTAGGTTGCATCTGGGTGTGTTTGTATGCAAGGAGAAGCAGAGGGTGGAGTGAAAGCACACTGCCTCTGAGTCACATGACTGGGAAGAAGGAGGGGGTGTAGAATGGAGGACTTGGCAGCATTCCGAGGCACTAATTGCCTCTTGCATACAGATGCAACCAGGGAATGGTTTTTTTTCTTTGCAACCCTCATTCTGATCCAGACCTTTTTAAAACTCAGTCTTTCTTCTGTTGGTTTCTCTCTCCTCATCAAATGTGGTCCCATTTGATTCAGGTTGGTTTTTTTTGTTTGTTTTTGTTTTTTTTTACAATTATCCCACTGATTAGCAGAAAGAAGATTCACAGATATACAGAAACTTAAACCTTATTTATATCATTTATTTCCATAATTCTGCTGTGTTGGAAAGCATCACATGTGTTGTTCCGGCCTCACAAAAGCCTGACTGCTCTTGGACTAAAAGAAGGGTTGTTATGATGCTAAATAGGTTGCTTTGAGTTGTCCTGGGAGGGGTGGGAGGTGGACGATTAAATGCAGAAAGGAAATAAGTAGTGTTTGCTATTTGATTGTTTATTATCAACTGTATTCAAATACTAGTTCTTTTTTTTTTTAATGCAAATCTTTGCCTGCTTTTCTGCATAGGTACCAGTGGTGGGTTGCTCCCGGTTCGCACCGGTTCGCAAGAACCGGTTGTAAAAATTTGTAGTAGTTTGGAGAACCAGTAATAACATTGGCTGGCCATGCCCCCGAACTGGTCCCCGGCCCGGTTGCTGCTCACTTACCCCATCCACCTCATCAGAGGCTTTTTTTTTTTTTTTACTTTTAAAAGCATTTTTTCTACGTCTTCGGCCGAAAAAATGCTTTTAAAAGTAAAAAAAAAAGCTCAGCTGGGATCGTCAGAGGCTTCTGAAAGCATTTTTTTCTGCAGAAGAGGTTGTAGAAAAAAAAAATGCCTTTAAAAACCTCTGGCGATCCCAGCTGAGTTGCCTGTAGAAAGAATGCTTTTAAAAGTAAAAAAAAAAAGTTGGCCACATCCACCCCCCCACTTGGGTGGGGACCAAGCCACACCCACAAAATAAGCCACGCCCACAGAACCTGTAGTAAAAAAAATTAGAACCTACCCCTGGTAGGTACCTGGGGAATTCTGGGAGTTGAAGTCTACAAGTCTTAAAAGTTGCCAAGTTTGGAGATTCCTTATTTAGATCAACCCAGCCTTACATGTTAAAGTCGGTCCAGGCTATGACTTCTCTACAAAAGTGCCTGCCCACATGGTCGTGGACAATTTCACTTTGTATCCTATGGCTGCTCCCAGTGAGCGTATCTTCTGACATCTGGTACAAGCCAATGTTGCAACTTTCCATGCCAAATTTCAGCATGAATCAAATGACCCATTTCATTTCACTCAGGAGAAGCTGTCACAAAAGAAAGCAAGAAGTCCAAAAACTTTGTGCGAATATACCTAGTATAATATCATACACAGTTGTATGTGGCAAAGGTAGAATAATAGGACACAAATCTAGGAACACCATCATAATCCCCGGTTCCTATTGTGCTGTATCTATTGATAATCAATGATATTTTCATATTTTCAATAAGTGATAGTAAAAAAGGTTGGCGCTGTCTCTCTTAATACTACAATATATAATACATGCTGTGATTCAACTGTATTAGTAAATTAAGTTGCAAATGTCACTAGAATTTCTGGTCTTTGGCCAGATTTTTAATGTAAAGATATATAAAATGTTTTTGAGTACCATATATTAGATAAACTATGCAAGTTGTTAGTATGTTTTGGGGTTAAGGGACAAGAACGTTTCCTTGCTTAATCCTACTTTTATCAACACCTTTTTCCGCCTTCCTTTGCAATACCAGCTGAATGTGTGCAAGTTAATAATCAGTGCTTGTTTTGATTTCTTAACCTCTGGAAAAAGGAGCAGACATAGCTACATATGCTTTTTTTGTAAAAATGGTTAAACTCTTGACCTTAATTCTTTCTTAGTTTACTCAAAACAGTTTTTTTTCTACCTGCATCGCATCCTCCTTGCTTTTACAGCTTCCACTACATAAATGAACTTGCAGCTATTATTATGTTGAACAGTTATATATGACTCTAAAGATGATGGAAACTGTTACTAGGGAAAACATAATAGTTCCCTTGCATGACAGGACTGCAGCAGTTTATGATATGTGTCTAGAACCAGAATGTGGATATAGAAATATTAATATCCCTAATAAGGCTGGAAATCATTGTTTCTGTTTTACCAGAAAATAAAATCCATTGAATAAGGGAATGTAAAACCAAGCAGCCAGAGAATGAATGAGTCCAGATATACCTCATTTATATTAAGAAACATCATGGTTTAATTTAAAATGTGACTCTGCAAAGTTCAGCACAAAGCTCTAGGATTAGTGAGATTATCTACAGTGTACTTTACACACAGAATGTCTACAAAAGCCCTATATGCATGTTAAGTATTATTATTAGCTTTTGAAATATCGGCAGATATTTTTTTGGCCACTTAGTTGACCTTGACTGATCTTGAAAGTTAAGTAGGGTTGGCCCTGGATAGTACTTGGTTATATGAATTCCAGAGGTGCTGAGTAGACTAGAAAGAAGGGAAGAAATATCCCGAGCGAAAGGCAATGGCAAATCACTTCCATAATACTGCCAAGAAAACTGTAAGAATGCAGCCACCAAGAGCCAAGCTTGATTCAAGAGCATCTTTCTTTATCTTAATGGAGACTGATTGTTCGATTGATTGCCCACATTTATTTTGGTCAAGCTAAAGCACCATACATACCTAATGCACCCACCTCCTATTTTCCCCACACAACAATCCTGTGAGCTGAGAGAGTGTGACTGTCCCAAAGCCACCCAGCTGGCCTTCATGCCTAAGGAAAGACTAAAATTTAGTTTTCCTAGTTTATGTCTAGTATGTAATATCAACTATATATAACTAATATAGCTTGATTTGTTTGACCCAGCCTAATAAACAAAATCTGTTAGTATCTGAGTTTCAGACCTCCCTGTTGAATGTTAACGGGGAACAAAACCCTCACTCTGGCACATATGAAAGAGAGAGGATTCTGCACTTATTCAGCTATTCTCTATTCAGCTGCTCTCTTTTATGTACAAAGATAGTTCTGTTTAATAGTGAACAAACTACAAGAGTTTGTATGAATGTCAAAAGAATCTTTTCATTCTTGTCATTGTGTTCTGGCTTTCCAAGGCCACCAGCATGCCACTTATCATTGTGCTCATTTTCTGGGCATTAATTTTTGGGGTGAGACAGAAATATGGATAACAAGAAAAGAAAGACCCTGGCTTTCTTTCTGCTACACAGGTATGGCTTTGTGCAGGGAGGCAGCTTCTGGTGAACCAGTTAGGGAGCCCAGATGATAAGATCTAGTTTGTTGGATCAGTGAGGTGTCTCGTCTTGCTCTACTCCAAAAGCTGATATATAATCAATAGATTTGTGATTATTTGCATTTTAAATACAATATATAACTTTCCAGTTACCGTATTTTTCGGAGTATAAGGCGCACTGAAGTATAAGACGCACCTTAGTTTTTGGGGAGGAAAATAAGAAAAAAACTGATTGGCAGGTGGATCAGCCTCCCGGAATATCCCCAATCAGCTGTTCCCAGAGATGAATTTTAGCAACAGGTTCCTTGGTTGTGAGCTCTGTGTCTTGCTCTCTTTTTTTGCTTTTTTTTCTGCCTCTGAAACTTCTGAAATTCTGTTTCAGAAAAAACTTTTTTTTCCTGCTTCTGAAAGCCTCCGAAACAGCTTCAGAAAAAAAGTCTCTGAAGCTCTGTTTGGGGGCTTCTTTTCTGAAGCTTTGTTTCTGATACTTTTTTCAGCCTCTGAAACCTCCGTTTGAGAAGCCGGGCTGGGCTACATTCGGAGTATAAGACGCACCCAGATTTTCACCCTCTTTTTTGGGGGAAAAAGGTGTGTCTTATACTCCGAAAATATGTATATATATACTGTCCTATCTGTCTCTTAGCTCTCTTACCGTGTTTCCCTGAAAATAAGACCCTGTCTTATATTTTTTTGAACCCTGAAATAAGCGCTTGGCCTTATTGCCATGCACTCAAAAGCCCGATTGGGCTTATTATCAGGGGATGTCTTATTTTGGGGAAAACAGGGTAATTGTGGTTTGTTCTTAATAATGTTAATCTGTGTTGTTTTATTTTTTTCTAATATTTTAAGTATTTTTACTTGTTTTATAATTTGTGAACCGGGTCAGAGTCACTTTGCAGAGTAGATGGGCGGCATGAAAACTACATAGATAGATAGATAGATAGACAGACAGACAAACAACACATATACAAGGTTTGCTTCATTTCCCTACACTTTCTCACATTCTTGCTGCATCATAGACAATTTATTTTTTAAATGTAGCTTATGGGATAAACTGATATTTAATTCAGAAAAGGAAACCAGAAAAGATGTGTGAGATCTGTAATCAGATCTCCAAATGCCCTTTAAAAAAACAAAAACAAAAAAAGAATTCTAGCTATCAAATGTTTTAATGAAAGAAACAGCATCTGGCAATGGAATAGAGCTCACATTCTCCTGTGTTGCTCTTGCATATCCCCCAGGCTGGCTCTGAAAGTTTTGAGGATTCTGTGCAACAGATTTGCAAATGTGGAATGGGGCAGGGAGATGAGAAAAACTGCAGAGATTAGTCCAGACAATCTCCAGAAGTCAGTGCTGACCCAAAGGCACACAGAGAAAAAAAAAGGAAAAGAAAAAATCATGTGCATCGAAGAAAAGCAGAGTTAATAGGTCACTTGCCCCTATCTATAATTAGAACTAATAGCGCATTGGGAAAACTGAGTGCTAATGATATACTGTAGGTTAAAACCTGCAACCATCCCATCGCCTCAACAGAAGTCATACCAGTGCATACCCCCACCAGCTTTTAAACTTTAAAATCAATGTCAGAAGGTCAATCACACATCAGATATATTACATCTAATATCTATCTTACTTCCATTTGAAATGGAATAATTTGAAATTATTTCACTACTAGCCAAATGCTTTCCTAGCTTTTACTCTCTCATTAACAATGCCATCATAATGTTGTGGATATAATTAAGTTCATTTCTGCCACATACAAACATATCAACATGGGAATTTTGAAAATGCAAATACAAGTCAATCCTGTTCAGAGTTCTATAAGTTAACTATCGGTTAGGTTTTCAAAATAACCCATTTTATGGGAAAAGCAATATTTATTTGTAAAAAGCGATGTGGGAAGCAACATTTATCTGGTCATTTCAGCACAGAATCTGCTACAAGGAGATATCAGTATAAACAAGCATCTTTCAAGTCAGCATATCTCGCATACTAAACAACCATCACATTCAAAATGCAGTCAGGCACGCATTAAGCAGCCATCAGGCTTCCTTTGCCAATTTTTTTACTGAACTAGCTGTTGTCATCACATGTGTTATGCTTCTCACTGTTTCGTTCATCTTTTTAAGGCTGGATAAAGATATTAGGATCCCTTAAAAGCAAATTCAAATATATGCTTGACAGAGGGCGTGCAGACAAAGCTGCTTCATTCAAAACACTCACTCTGAATATAGTTGGACTCTGAGTTCATATTGTCATATCCTGTGTACCGCTGCTCTGGATTCTCATCGGATGATGGTAAACAATCACAGCAGGAAGCATCTTGCACCCAAGTATGATTTCCACATAATTAAGTACTGATTTTTCCAGTAGCTCAGCAATTTATCCTCTTCTCAGAACTGATCTGGGCACAGTATGAGCTCTTACCTGCATTAAGGCAAATAAAACAACATTATTAGACCTAGAACGTGAATTTCTCTTATTCTCAGAGATTGAAGGATTGCCAGAAATAAGCATGGATAGGTTCCTTGGCTTGTCAGATGATATCTGAGATAGAGGGAGGGGCGGGGGGACCAAAGAAGGGAGAATTACTGGGCCTAAGCAAATCCATGGCCTCATTCACATACTAAGGAGGGGCTGCTAGGTTCCCACAATGACATGATGTTTGGGATGACTTCTGCAGCTGCCACTCAATAAAGACAGGAGCATTTCCTTGAGAGTTGGTGGAAGGAGGGTTTCCCATTGCTGGGAACTCTTTCTTCCCTGTTCCTGCCTCCCACTTCTCACATTTCTCTTTGTGAGTCACCAAAGCAATTTGCTTGCTGCCATTTCCATGAGACATAAGGTGCCTCTACTGCTCCCCACACAAACACAGAGACTATTTTCCCCTCTTTATTGCTACAAAAACAGATGCAGCAAACTAAGACCAAAGATGAGTAGGCAAAGCATGGCTGGTCACGTAATTTAGATAATCCCTCTGAATGTTTGACTCACATACAAAATGTTCCTTTGAATGCTTCATACCTCCCCAAAAAGACCCCTACGGATGAGGACAATATTCTGTGTCACTCAGCGCACCACATTTCTAATAAATGGTTAATAAATCAGTGGTAATGCGGTCTTCTTAATTAATCTTTTCAGTCTTCTAGGGATAAAAGAAGAAAAGTATTAATGAGTCCTAATGTTTTATTAAGAGAGAGACAGAAAGGGCCGCAGATACATATGTGCACACTCACACATGGAGATATATAAATACCTGACTGGAGTGCTTTTCCCTCCGAGGTAGCCTTGTGTCAGCTTTACGGACTGATCCTGCAGCTGTCTGGGAGGTCAATCACACATTGCAGAAGAATATATTTAACTGGCGGCAGCCAGCAGATACCGCATCCATTGCAAGCAATTTCATTAAGAAGGAAGTGCGGTCTGTCCATCATTGGGATCACAGTGCTATTTTTTAATTGGCATGAAGATCCCGGCCTCATCATTTCTTTGAAACCATCAATCCGTTCCAACACTGTCCTCTTGTCAGTGGCAAACAGGAGGCATAACACTTGCTTTATTGCATTAATAATTCAACACTGCCCATGGTTTTCTTTAAAAATTCTCAGGTGGCTATTGGGGCACTGAGTCGGGCCACTAAACAGATCTCCAGTGAGTCAGGTCATATGTTGCCTGGCAACTGAGGCCTGGCTTGACAAAGGCAGGACACCTTACCATTTCCTCCCTCTTCTTTCTTCCCCTCCCTGCAAGAAATCAATATGTCAGACCTGATGTTGGTGATGGGAGATTAGATGAGAGAAAGCATAAAAATTGCTGGAGAGACTCTATTTAGAAGGGCTCTCCCTAACTACATGACTTCCCTGCAGCTGTGTCATTATGGCTGTCCCTCCACCGGCGGCATTCATTAAAGTCTTATTTGCAAAGGCATTGTTTTGTACAGTACGTCTGCTTCATTTTAAATCTGCTGCCTTTTTTCTCAAATGATTTCATTTAGGGCCGAGGGAGGGAATGTTTCCATCCCCCCATGCCACAAGCAACAGGATATGCCCCCTCCCACCTCCTGGCTCTCTCTTCCTCTCCTCATTCATTACTTGGTTCTAATTTTCAAATCAATCTTTAAGAGATGTTTAAATTAAGTTATGCAGCATATGTGCTTTGCATTGCTCATATTCCTTGCCATAGGCTTCACACGAATTCTTCCTTAACTCCTGTTTGGTTGAGCTTCAATGAAAGTTAAACCTGCAATGGATAAGCCTCGTGGAAAATTTCCAGGCATTCATTAAGCAATTTTGGCTCATGCTTCAAAGCCCTTCTGGATTAGGGATTGGTAAACAATTAATTCAAAAGTGACCTTACACCTTTGCTTTCTAGATGCTCAGGTCATCCTATAGAGCTCTTCCCTACTCTTATCAGTTTTCAACAAGTGGTAAACCGTTTCTCTCAAGCAGCAATGACGTAACACTTTTCAATTAATTGGAAGTTAATCAGAGCAGTGTGGACGGTGTGCTGCTGGTTACTTTTCCTGGAGGAACTATGACATCAGTAAATTAGATCTCTAAGGATGCCTTATACAAAGAAAATGGAACAGGGATTTCCTGAGCTGTAATAAATTCAGAAAGCCCTGATCTGTTCATTTTTAGGATTGCTGGATATTTAATAATGTTGCCTCAAGGATTGATTTTGTAAAATAATGCCTCACAATCTCTTACACTTTCTCAGAAATGTTCTAATCCTACAAAAGAGGTTCATCTATTTTTATCTCATTCTCTGGGTATTTTATAATTTTTAAGAAACATTGGGGAGAGGATCCTTTCATTTAAACATACATTATTGTTTAGAAGATGGTAAAATCTCCTGTTGTAGGTTTCAGTTATAGGTAGTCCTCAATTTCCACTGGTTGCTTAGCAATTGTTTGAAGCCTGGAAAAAAAAGGAGTTATGACCCAGTTCCGATGTTCTGATGGGTCACCCCTCCTATCTGGTTACATGACCACGTTGGTTGTTCAGCAACATGACTGCATTTATGGCCATTTACAGCTTGACTGTGACTGCATTTTATGACAGTTTTGCTGCAAACAGGAAGTTATTTCTGGTTTTCAGCAAAAGCACACCATATCAAACAACGGATTTATTTAACGACCGTGGAGTTCATTTCATCATGTCTTATGACTGCCACTTGGCCTCCTATTCTTAGCTATGGGTCTTCTCTAGAAAACATTAGAGACCAACAGGTTAGTAAGAAAGGTGATTATTTTGGTTTGATCACACAGTCAGCCAGATGTTTAGACTGGACTTGGCATTTATATCTGCCTATCAAGCCCTTCCTAAGGATCTGAGATAGGTAGACGTTCTTGTTTAATGGTGTTAAAGGAATCATCACAGGATATAGGGCAGGGCTATCAAACATGCGGTCCACAGGCTGGATGCGTCATGTGCTGGCCACGCCCACGCCCAGTTTAGCGAATGAGAAAAAAGTCGTGATACATCATGTGACAACATGAGTTTGACACCCCTGATATAGGAGATTCCAAATAAAGCTGCCTTTTGCAATGAACTGATGGTGATTTTGTCAATGCCAGTGGTGTTCAAGTGGTGTTCCAGATGTTTTGAGATTACACCCAAGGCACCTCTTACTATTGGCATTATCTTTGCTTTCTTTTGCCACAATTGTTCTACTTCTATTCCCAGGCCTTTATATTTTGTGATTTTCTCCAGTTCTTTCTCTTCTGCTATTTCCAAATATTGCAGCGTCCACTATCCAGGCTTTTTTGTCTTTCTTATCAACAGTTATTAGGTCTGAGATGTTATGTGGCAGGTGCTTGTCAGTTTGAATTCTAAAGTCCCAGAGCACTTTAATTTCTTCATTTTTCTATCACTTTGTCGCTTGCTTGCAGGCAAACAGTATTTCTCACAGATATTCCAATGCACCATTGTTGCTACTTTGACATGCCATTGTGGGTTGTCTTCTTTTTCGTCTGTCTGCATATGTGAGCATTTTTGATACTCTAAAGTATATAGAGAGATTTACACAAACACTTGTACAATGGTATGTGTTCATGAAGATCTGCCCACAGGAAGGGAAGCAATGGCCCGCTCCTTTCCTGGAAGAGAAAGGTAGGAGAGCCTAGGAGCAGGGGAATTATCCAGTGAGAGGATACTTATCTTACAGTCTAGACTGAACACCTTGTAAGATTTTGCCAAAGTGTCTAAGGCCAAACAAATTTTCTTAACTTGGATTAGAGTCAGCCAGGCATGAGCACAGGACAGGAGCAGTTTAAGGTGCAATGCAGATATGGTGAATATATGCTAACATTCACCAGCATCCAAGAACTATTTCAAAAGCATGCTTCATTCTTGCACTATTTTCAGAGGCTTTAGAGGCCACCCACCCCATCCTTATGCGGCCTCCACAGCCTCTGAAAATAGTGTGGAGGCTGTGGAGGCCACATAAGGATGGAGTGGGCGGCCTCCAAACCCTTTGGAAGTTGTGAGAAGGCTCTTGCATTGCTTCAAGAATCTCTAAACATTGTGTGAGAATGGGGTATGCTTTCATGCAAAGGCTACAGAAGAGCATTCTCTAAAGCTGCTTCAAGATCAAAGGCCTTATGCAACCCAGAACAGCCTCGGGTAGGCCGCAGGGACCTGTCAGACTGAAACAAAACACTACCTGAAGGTAAGTGGCACACGGCAGGTCCTGGGGAGCACTCACACACTTTGGGGAATGGTGCAAGGCAGTCTTTTTGAGTGTCAGCAGTGATGATAGGGTTGAGGCCCAAGGATCTACTTCAGACCTAGCCTCAATGCTGTCACTGTTAATGGTAGCTAAGATCAGGGAGTGAGGGATAGAGAATTGTTTCTCTTTTGTTTGACAGGGGTGACATGCCAGCAGAATCAAATTAGGTAATTTTTCCAAAATTTTGACATGTCCAAACGTTTCGCCATCCCTGAGCTATGCTCTGGCAATACCAAGCCTTCCACTGATTTAAAAATGAGGTCCTTTATAAGTTACAGGTAGTCCTCGACGTACAACCACAATTGAACCCAAAAGTTCTATTGTTAAGCAAGGCATTTGTTAAGTGAGTTCTACCCCATTTTACCACCTTTCTTGCCACAGTTGTGACTCGCGCTTCCCCATTGACTTTGCATGTCAGAAGTTAGCAAAAGGGGGACACTGCAACCATCATAAATACGAGTCAGTTTCCAAGCATTTGAATTTTGATCACATGACCATGGGGATGCTGAAATGGTCATAAGTGTGAAAAGCAGTCATAAGTCACTTTTTTCCGTGCCATTATAATGTCGAATGGACATTAAATGAACTGTTGTAAGTCAAGGACTACCTGTGTTCCTGAGAGACCCAGAATACAAATAGCACATAAATGCGCACACACACACACACACACACACACACACACACACACACATACT